AAAGAACAATAACCAAAAGTCTGGGGTGGGGGGTGATTACAAAAATAATCATGCTAGAGTAATAAATCTATCATGTGATGTGTTTGATAATAAGTAACAAACATTTGAATATAAAAGGAGATACCTCAAGAAATGAAGAAATAATAATAATAATAATAATAATAATAATAATAATAATAAGAAGAAAAATTATTAAATTTTAAACAAAATTCTTAGTTCAATGGGGAAATAATTCTGTAAAACAAATGTGTGCTAAAGTAATAAATTTTGTCACATATCCTCTGGGTGATGAAAAACCATGTATTTGAAGTTTTAAGTGGTTAACTTAAAAATAAAGAAGTTACTGTACAGTTAAAAATAATATTTTAGAATCTAGAACAATAATATTTCAATGTTGCGGCAGTTTATACTACATAAAACACCATATTTTAGCATGGACTGCATAATTCACCTGCAATAATAACATAAATAAATTAAATTTTATATTTCTTTGTATACAAACCAAAATTGCTTTAAAAATAGTTTCTAAAACCTGTTTAATAACTTTGAGGCGGTCCCTTCCTGGAAAATTGCATGATCTGCTATTGGACAACGTGATGCAATTTAATTGACCAGCGCTATCACTATAATTCCTCATGCATTTTTTAAACGGCTGCTGCTGCATATAGTTAACATATTGGGCATCAAATACCTACCAGGTTTGATCTTATATCTTTTGGGGTTGTTCAGCAATAAAGCAGCGACTGCAAATTTGTCTTGTTTACTAGCGCAATATTTCGCGACAAACGGAAACGCTTGGTAAAGCATCTGAATGAATCTGATTAGAATTATCCGGATGCTTACATTTTTTCGCTGTCGAAGAGCTAACATCCTAATGCACACGACTGTTAGGTTATAACACTTTTAAGTTCAAAACATTTAGTAAAATAATTTATTACATAACTGACTGACCCGTTATTGGCTATGATCCGCTATTGGCTAACTCACTGTACTTGTATATGCGCTGTTATGTTTTCACCCTCGATTTTATAGTTTACAAAGCATTTTAAAGCAACAAAAAAAAACATTTTTATTTATATTTTCAGTTCGTATAATGATTTCTTTTCATACAATACCGAAATGATATCTCACTGAAACTCATGCCACATATAAGATCCGTATCAGTTAATAAATATTTTGACAAAACGGCGCCAATCCGTAAGCAGCGTAATGACGTCATCCCAAGTAAACAACTCATTCATAAAGAAGCTGATGTATTTCAGACATACAAAAATGATAAATTGGGCACGATGTAAACACAAAACGACGTAAGTTTTTATTGTTGAGAATTTGATAAAATAACGCTTTTTTCTTATTGTTTCTTTTATTTGATAATTTTTATACCTTCCCCAGCAAACACAAGACGTCATACTTACGTCAGATTTAAGTCAGGTTCTGACGTCGGATGACGGTCGGAAAAACGGTTGGATTTGAAAGTTTTTTTGACGTAATAATCTGACGTCAGGTAGACGTCAGAATCTAACCATTATTTAACCTTCTTCTGACCAAAATCTGACCATTATCTAACCATTTTCCGACCTCAATCTGACCATTTTCCGACCTCAATCTGACCATTTTCCGACCTAAATCTAACCAGTTTCTAACCATTTTCCGACCTCAATCTGACCATTTTCCGACCTAAATATTAACCCTTTTCTGCCCTAAATCTGGTCATTTTCTGACCTTCATCTGATCATTCCCCTAATTTTTTTTGTTTCACCACGTCATTAATTTTTTCTGGCTAATCCTGATTTGATCGAATCTAATGTAACTAATTCTATTAAGTAAATTTCCCTCCAATGAAATGTATAACAGAAAATTAAAAGCAAAAATATGTTTTATGCTTTTTTAATTTAAAATAAAAGTTGCAATTTTAAGCTGATACATACAATTGTAGTAAATTCTGCAAGGTTAAATAATTTTCATAAACTAAACAAAATAAAACATAAAATAAGTTAATTACAAAACAAAAAGGGATTACAAAAACAATGACATAAATGAAACTAAGAAAATATGTACAAATATTAAAGAACAAAACAATGTATGCACATTTCTATCAAAGTTTGCCTTATCAAATAAAATAATGAAAATATTATAATTTTAAGAAAAGTTAAAAGATTCTGATAATAATGTTTCAAGCAATTAATGACAGATTTTCAGTATTTTAACTATATTTCTACAAACATTTCTAAAACATTTAGTGCCATTTTGCATATTTTGACCTCCTTTGATAATTGTCAGAAATGTATAAATTGCTGCCTTTTAGTTACTTCACAAAGTTATACTTTTAGATATCCATGAGAATTAGCACGAATTTTGAGGTGTGATGCTTTAAGATATGACCTTCTTTCAGCCGGAGGATATGTAGCGTTTGTAGCGTCCAATAGCGTGTGTGACATCATTTTCACTGAAAAAAAAAAGAAATTTTATAAAACATGTAAAAATAACAAGCAAAAATGTTTTCATGGTTATCTTAACTTAATGAACAATTTTGCCAACTTTTATAAGAGAGCTTTAACAAAAATTAAAAGTAAACATAAAATACTGAACATTTTAAAAAGCCGCTTTTAAACTCCAGTTTAGTATGGATTAAAGTATGTTATAGAATTTTAAAAAAAATCTTACTTTCATATGTTTCTTTTTACATATTCACGTGTTTCCGTCCCTCCGACCTTGAGAGCATGTCCAACACTTTAACTACCTGAAAAGAAAATTATATTCTAACTTATGTATATATTCTACGTTTGAAATTGAACAGTTACGCAAGTCTTAAATATTTCATAGTTTTAAATTAAAGATTTAATGTCGAAATGTCTGGAACCAAAACGTCTTGGGTTATTTGGGACCGGAACGTTTTGGGTTATTTGGGACCGAAACGTCTTGGTCCGAAATGCTCGAAATCGTACAAATTCATTCTCAATTCTCAGACTTTAACTGACAAAAACATCACAGTTTAAGAAACATATGAAAACTAAGCATTCTCTTTGGTAGTACTGAAAGGCATATTATAAACTCTTAACAAGCAGAGTTAAAACATGTCAATTTTAAAAAGATTTATTATTAGACATTATCGCGAATTTGTGTGACATTTTACTTCAGCTGTTCAAATAATGGTAATTAAATTCAAGAGTGCTTGCAATCATGCAATTATTTATCAAATACAAAGTAGAAATAAATCTAAATAAATTGAACTGACCTTTTTGTTCAAGAAAATCTATAATATTCACTTTATCAGTGCATCCCGATTCCTGCCCGAGAGCCAAAACGTAACGCCTACGAATTTGAATTTCCATCCACGTGACTTTAGATTCGAATTATAGGTTAATTATGTTTTCTTTCCCTTTTCTGTCACTATGATTAAATGTTAAAGCACTATTAAAAAACTCATGATTTTGATACATATAATGTACCACAAATGATAATATTATAACGTTAAATGATTGGAACTTGTAAACAGATCTGTGGCTATAAATAGATTTCATAACAATAACACATGTAACTTACCTATATACAGCGCCACCTATATGTTTTATTAGGTTGCAGCGCCGCGATCTTGGTCTGTATTTATATAAGAACATTTCATTTGTAATCCAAATAACATTTGAAAAAAAGTTTAAATGATTACAACAGCGAATAAGGATTATTTTTTGTTATTTTTTTACCTACCGTCAGGACACCGACCAGAACCTGATGTTAGTATGACGTCAAAAAGAAACGTCTATTAGACATCGGTATTTTAACGTCAGATTTACGTCGTATTTTGGTCGCCGACGTCGTGACCAAAATCTAACATTAATCCGACGTTGTTTTAACGTCATGTGTTTGCTGGGTCGCAACAGTAGGGTGCGAATACCGAAACGTGTTATAAGAAAATCGGCACCGGAAGATATATCCGCTTGAAAAATTAATAACATTAGTGATTTTCCTTATTTCATCGTGTAAGAATCGAAATAACATCGGCCTGAGAGGTGTATATCGGCTATTTAACACCGGTTTTGTCGTTTGATGCGAAAAAATTAACCACTCAGGCCTATGGCCTTCGTGGACAATTCCTACGCATCAAAACTTCAAACCGGTGTTAAATAGCCGATATACACCTCTCTGGCCGAGGTTATTTCTTAAACAATGCACTCGCCGTTCTTATTATCTCCCTGCGTTTTTCACATTTAGGGCGCCATTTTGTTTGAAAAATCTGATAAATAAAAAACAATTTTTTGTCGAATTTTGTTGTACAACTGTCTAGAATGAAAGAAAATGGTCTAACTAAGAAAATGAATCCGAACACAAATATCTTTAATTCAGTCGTTAACGCTGTACAGACGTTTAAAGTGTTGTTTACGTGACGTCAAAATGTAGCGCCAAACAGCACGTGCAAAACAAACAAATCAAGTACGCTATTTTAAAGTTGCAAACGAGTTAAGTTTTACATATTTTTCACTTTAAATAGTTTGTATTTAGCTTGAAAAATTATAGAGTGAAATAAAAAAACAAACACAGTTTGATCAAAGTTCGTTATTCTCAAAATGTTTCCACACACTGTAGATTTAACGACCGTTTTTATCAAGCCACTGGATCAGCCTTTAAAGAAGGTTTCTATTGGAAACTCTGAGGCTAAAACAAATTTAACCACCAAACATTAAGTCCAACTTAATAATAATAATTAAATTTTTTTTGACGTGTTAGAATGGAAAAAGATATTAATTCTTCGTACATTATTGTATAATAATGCAAGTTTTTCTTTCAAATGCTTTGTAATTAATCACTCAGGCCTATCGACCTTCGTGATTATATTACTACGCATTTGAACTCAAACCGGGCATTATTCTACAACAATGCACTCAGAATTGATATCTATTTTCTAAATAACATGCAACTGTTGTGTTTTGTTTTTGTGTTGTTACTGTATTTAGTTGTATCTTTTTCTTGTGTTTTACGCCGCACTAACACAGAAAAGCTCATATGGCGAATAACCTGTGAAGGAAGACCTCACCCACAGCGGTGAGAAAAAGTGGATTGAAGTCAGCGACCATGGATGCCACTTTATACAATTGTGTAAACTTGTGCATTATTTAGGAACATTCATAAAGGACCAATATCATTGATGATTTACAAAATACCAAGGAAATGTTTTACAAAAGTATTTGATATTTGATATCTAGTCCATTAATGCAATGCTGCAAGATAGTTATATTATTTATTGAATGAATAAAGTTTAACTTTTATATAGGCTTTAAGATGATTCAGCATAGGCATATATAATTTTCTTTATTGTACGATATTGTACATGTATCAATTTTTACAACGATTCATACAGGTAAATTTCAAGTCAGAGAAAGATAGAATAACAGTCAGCATAGTGTATTATCTTTTAAGAACAATGTGCAAAAAGGGACCCCATTGAGGTTTTTTGTCATGATGGGACTAAGCATATTATTTTCAAGTAAAATGTACCATTTGATGACGGTTTAGACTACTTATCTTTGAGCAAAATTTCAGATCAATCGCGCACTTCAGTTTTCCAGAGTAATTATTCAAAAAGTATAAAAATGACCCAAAATGCTTAAACGCTTTTCACTAAAATCGGGCTAGGAAAAGCATACAAATATAATTTTCAATTTATTACAAAGTATATTTCTTAACTATCTTTGCTGTTTAAAGTGCCCCAGCTAATTTATGTAAGAAACTCAAATGTTATGTTTTAAACCTCAGTGGAGTCCCATTAAGGACCACATATAACATTTATTTTCATCAAGGACAATATATTTCATTAACTTATTAACTCATTGTTGAAAGACACTTGCATGTGATTACAGTGACTTTCTTTTTCAAAACTCGCTGAAATTGCAAAAATGTTGGTGTACATTCATGCATTATTTTTAAGTCACTTAAGATAATATAATGGCAGTTTTTATGGTGCATTACCCGAAATTTGCATTCTATCCGAAATTGACATTTTTATTATTATGGTTACTTTTGAAAATTTGTTTTAATTATTTTTCACACTTGGCTACCGTTTAATATATTTTCACAGGTGACTACGCCAACTATTAAAGTATGGTATATCAGGCTTTGACTCAGTAAAAATAAATTGTAATATTGCATGTATGCATGCCACTAAGTATTCTTTCTTTTTCAAAGTTTTAAGTCTGAATAATTGCTCCAAAACATTTAAACTATAAAAAATCAATTAAGTACAATAAATCTGTAAAATGTATTCTAACTATGTTTCTGTTTAGGGTTCGCACATGCTGCTGTAATAGAAGTAAGTGAACACTCTGCTGTCACTATTACATGCGATCTTAACGTCCAATATCCAACATGGACTGGCCCAGATGGACTAGCAGACCCTCTTACAAGCGGACAAACGATAAATGAAGCGGGCATGGAGTGGGTGAACAATAAAGATATCACGATTGAAAATGCAATGCTAAAACATGACGGCAATTATACGTGTTCAGATAATAATGGTAACACTAAGACCGCTGAAGTTGATGTTCAATGTACGTACACTGATTTATTAGATTTTTTTAAACATTATCCATGCATTTCTAAATACATGTATTTGTTATAGTGAGTTTAACATTTAATGTAAAAGAGTGATTATGCGTTACTCCAAAACAAAAACAAAACATTTGTTTTTTCGGGAAAGGATTTACACCACTTCTGCAAATGTGTGAAAAAGCAAAACTTTAATTTATTTTGCGCAACATTGCAACAATATAATTTTTTAAACTAACTTGATGATATTGCAAAAAAAAAACCTTGCGATATAGTAGTTTCACCCTGTTCTTTTATATCTTTTTTCAGACTTTTCAGCTTCGGCCGATATATCTGTTGCTTCACCACAGAATAGAACAGCAGTGTTTACTTGTGAATGTCATAGTAACCCACCTTGTAAAATAGTTCCTCATGTTTTTTCGCACAGCGTGCCTGATAGTGCGCCTACTCACACAATATTCAATCCTTGCGAACCAGTAAGTTCCGCTTCATTGAAATGTTATATCATGGAGAATCTGAATTGCGCTTTGTACTTAATTATAAGCAAAGTATTCCTTTATCTTTTTATATATATTTTTAAATATGTTGCTTTTTCTAAACAAAATGGATCGAGATTCAATCAAACCAAGTCTGCAATTTCCATGTGATTTGGCTGTGGTTCATGCTTCCTAGGGGTCACTTTTTTCCAGATATTTAATGTTAAATTACTTTTGGAAATTAGTCAAACCAGAAATTAATTGATAGATCGCGTCTAGCTGCATTATAAAATGCACTATAGATTTGAAATACAAGTTGAAAATATATCTAGAAGTTATATAGCAATAACCAAAGTGTACAGAACATGTACGCGTAACAACTCGTTTTGAAATAACTTTTCACCACGTTTCTTAAAATGATTGAAGCTAGGTACTACATAAAAAGATTAAAGGTAACATTATAAACAAAGCTTCATTTGTAGTTTATTAGTTTCAACTTAACAAAATGAATGTTAGATCTCCTTTTTTCTATAAAGTTCATTGAAGTATCAACGTCAATTCCAAGATTTCACCTTTGGCAGTTTAAGCTTGTCACGACAATATCATACATACGTATATAATTGTATATCAGGTCATCATACGAACTACCGTTGAAATTTCAAGAAAATTCTAGGACTTAACTTTGCTTTACAAATAACAGGAATAAAGAGTTAAACATTACAAGTCAAAATTATGTTCGATAAATATCTAATATCAAACTTGTTTCCTGTACAAGTGATGCAGCACCCGCTAGCATGCGATTACTAAACTCTCCGATTGCAATCTCTGAGCTCATAGTTTGCCCTTATAATATTTATTTTTTTTTATTAGAAAAGAGTTATTGTTTCGTGTTCGTAATTTAGTGTCTAAACAAATACGCGACGTGACATAATTAATACATACTTTGTGACATGACTTGTGAATCGATGATTATTTTGATGCTGTAGACAGATACGATATGTATGCAATGCATGCTCGAAATTCGGGCGCATTAAGTCAAAATCTATCTCCACAGAGCATTAAAAAACACAAATTATATATATGTGCTTTGAAAACTAATACTCCAATATTTTACATAGGATCCAACTCGTCAAAATCGAATGAAGTGTAGCACTATTGCAACATTAGGAATGGCAAAAAAATATAACGGTCTCCAACAAAACAGTTGCAAGTTCTCGTACAAAGGCACCGAGAACTTCAGGACGATATCTCCAAAAAATAAATTCTACTGTAAGTCAGGTGTTGATATAACCTTTTTATTAAACATGCTCGGAGACATTCAGAGTTTCTGATGTCAATTTTACTTGAAACCTTATATTCTAAATGGTTTTAGCAGGACCATAATTTGTGGCGATTATCTAACGTTTATCTCATCAGCCTCTTATACAGACAATGATGAAGTTTTAAATATCAAATTATTATTAAAAGCTATATAATTATAATGAACTTTTTTCAAATTCGAAACAGGGCACGCCCATTGTACAAATCCAATAGGTTGTTGCTAAAATTGCTCAAATTATAACACATGTTTTATTCAAGATTTGCGTTTCTTTCGGCTTACATTTATACAAATAGCATACACGGAGTCTTGGACTGATAAACTTTATTTGTAAATGCGAGAGTTTGTCATGATAGAATAGATATAATTATTATGGAAAATAATTTTGAAATGAAATGAAACGATGTTACACATTTCCACTTTCAGTCCCACCGACATATGTCAACATAACTGGAGAGAAAGATGGTAACATCGTGACCCTGAACTGTACAACCGATTCGTCGAATCCAGTAGCTGTGTTAAGCTGGTATAAGGGGGAGAAAGATGTAGCCTCAGATAACTTTAGGATCATAAGCAACTATCAAAAAGTCATTGTTGACGCGGATTATCATGGTAAAAATAAAACGCAATCTCTCGATATCAACGTAGATAATGTAAAGGATGGAGAGAAGGCTTTCTGTTGTGCGGAACAAGTGCAAACCGAGATCTGTGAATCTTTTCTATTAACACCATTTAGAGAAACATGTGAGTATCAAAAGAACCTTGCAATCCCAATCAATTCAATATTCAACGGATATATGTTACCAAAGTCAGTAAGGCATACATCTATTGTCTATGTTGTCTATGATTTACTTGTGGATAAGAATTCCTAGTGTCATTTCTTTAAGTACTTAGTCACTAGCGTATACCTTTCTTAAATTAAGAATTGTAAGCCACTGCTCGGAAGGTCATATTTGACTTAAATTATTAATAAATATATTTATTTTACATCCCGATACATCTTTCGATGACTTAAAACATTGCCTGTGATGGTATGATGAAGAAGAAAGTGTTATCTTTTTTAGCTGAGAACATGGTCAATGTATTATTTCTCTGATAAAGAATATAATTATCACGTATTTAAATATACGATTGTACATGTAAACCTAATGTTACATTATCGAAAACGATATGAAGCCCTCCGAAGGATTGAAATTTAAGTTTACATCTTACGTTATCACAAATTCAATGGGATGATACACTAACAAACTTGTATGTTTTCTTCTTTTACAGCTGGTGGTCACAGTTTTACAGGCTGGATGACTATGATTATTGCTGGCGTCGCTGTCGCAATCATCTGAGGAAATGCCATTACGTTTTCTTTTTAAAAATATCATGAATTGACAATAACATAAATGAACTATCATCATTTATTCATATGTTCATGACTTTATTTCCATCAATTTATATTCTAAACCCAATGTATCTCTATTATTTCCATTTTAGATATAGCGATATATTATGTTGATGCAGATTTTGTAATTGATGCAATTTATATAAGCAAGTTAATAAATATATATAACATTGTAATATCGTACATTATTTCATTTGTTTAGATAAATCATTTGTATGTTAATAGTTGTAAGGGTGTATTTTGCTTAAATATATTTTATATGAATAATGAAAATATCCAATGTCAACAACTTTGTTAACAGCTATTTAGTAAGCTTTACTTGGAATATACAATTTTCTTTATTAAAATTTCTGGATTTGTACATGTACCAACATGGTGTTCTCAAAAACTGCCTACTTCTTTTAAGGAATTACGTAAAACAGAGACCTAGGACATAACAGAATATAGCCTGCAATCAAACCAAGCAAGTGCTAAAGTTAATAACTCTACATAACTTTGATTTTGTATTATCCCCCCTTTGGATAAATAATATTGCTCTTTAAAAGTACTGATATAATTTTATTAACATATTACACAGTGATAGAGATAAGGATCTACATGTAAAATGCAACCGTGCCTAAGGTTTTTTTTCTTTTTAAATTATGTCCCTTTATACTACTTTTAATGCTTTTTATACTTTTGATAATGATTTATATCCTTTATTTATTTAGCGATGTGCTACATATTTTAAAGAAACATATCCTAATGGTCTTGTTTGGTCATGTGGGTCAAAGTCAAGGTCATTGATGATTAAACTAATGGTTTTTACTTTGTTGTCCATGCACCCTTGTCTATTATAATAACTATCTATTGTACAATGTTTATCAACCTGCAACGTTTCGGGTGTTTAACTCCTTTTCCTCATGACAAACAAACACCCAAACAAACAAACAAGAACAAAAACACACACAAAACAAACAAATAAGTATATAAAACAACAAAATAAGATGCATTCTATTAGGTAAATAAACATCTTTTTCATTAAATTGATCTTCCAATCTTATTCGTTTTTACAGTGAATGGGTCATCAGTCCAATTTTCCAAATGTGTCTTTTGCCAATAGTTGATATACCCTTTTCTCTAATTAAAACATTACAACAGTAAGCATTACATTGTTTATTTACATCAAGAGATATAAGTCCACTTGTAATGTTAAAGTTTATGTACTTCGGAACCGTTGTAACTATTACATGGATCAGTGCACTTCAGAATAGGTAAGTCATGTCTGTATGGATAGTGCAGTTACACTTATTGCCCCACAGGCGCGGAGCTATTTGTGTTTACTATTTCTTTTTTTGTCCATGGGCCCGGATTTTATCAATTACTCCCTTCGATTTACAGCTTAAAATAAATTCGGATTCATGTCATATTAATGAATGAGAACCAACCGGAAAGCAATTCTGCTGTACATGAATTCGAAAGCTATAATTATCTGTATATAAATAAATGTTCTGATTTTTGACACTTAGGTTATAAATTTGTTTTTCCCTTTTTAGTAGAACATGAAATTATAAGTTGCTACCTTTTGAATTACATTTACACACAGTATTTCAAGTATACTTTTAGTGATTGACTTTGTCAATATAAAGAAGATTTCAGGCATAAGACTTTAATAATTTTGCTTTTGATAACTATTCTTAGTTTAGATTTATGAAACTGTAACATGTTGATGTATTTGTTGTTTTGAAATAATTATAACTTAAGTATATAATATTACATTTCATTGGCATCATTGGTATCCATGGAGGTAAATTATCACCACGTTGTGCTTCAATATTAAATCTTAACGGGCATGACTGGTGACATTTCCGGGGTACTCGACAGCGATAGCTGCATGTTGTGCTCTTACGAGCGGATGGACACTCAGTAAGCATAGGCTATAGATAGATAGATATTGGTAAGAACAGAAAACTGAGATCTGCACTTAGAACATGAGGTGCAATGTTTATTTATGAATGGTTTAAAAGCAATTCAACAAAAAGTATATTGACCTCCTAATAAATCAAATAACAATAGATTTTTATATATCACCAATGTCAAAGTAGCTTTTATATCTTTGACTCGCACGAACATGATGCTAGTGAATTTCCTCATACCTGCCTAATATTCAGGTAACAGTCTTCTATTATATTGATAAATACTATATCACCATGTAACGCCTATATAACAAAAAAAAATTCCTGAATTTGGTATTTTTGAAAATTCATTTTTTTCAATTCTGAGTGTGTTCTACTTTCAGTATTGATAGAAACCATTTTTTTAAAATTTGACATGCAAAAAAATGCATGTAATATTACTTAAGTGTAATATTAGTCCCTTTTGTTACTATTTGTATATTTGTTACAATTATAATAATAAAACCGACTTTGATATTTTTATCATCTTATATTACTGACTACAATAGTGACACAAACATAACACAGTACAGTCATGTCACATAACATTTACAAGGTAGGCATCAGTGAAAGCACTTTTTTAAAAATTAAATATCTGGCCCCTCTTTTTAATTATGGACAGTGCATAAGATAAGTATAATTATGGAAATAATGGTTTACAAAACATTCGGAAAAAATCTACAATAGTACTTAATCTGAATATAACATGACCTGTGCGTAGGAATAATTTGGTAAGGTATCTGTAATGAGCGCATTATTTTGCGCGGAGCTTCTCAATTGCTGCGTTGCAGCAACATTAGTACTAACTTGTTGACCATAGTCTTTGCAGTGAGATGTTATTCTGTTGTAGCGTAGTGGTAGCACGCTGATCTTTCAATCATACTGTTGCTGGTTTAAATCCCATCAGTTATACATTTTTGTTATAAGAAAATATCTTCTAATATCTTAACTCTGGTTTAAATTAGCAAGTGTATTTTAGATTTTTATGATTTTATATGTAAATAGTAAGTCAACCTTATATTCTCTTGTAAACCTTATAGATTAACAGTGTGCATTTAAACTGTGTTTTATATGTATAAACTAATAAATAAATAAATCCTGTATCTGACCTTTTCATTTTGATTAACTATATCTTTAATCACAAACATTGACATGCGCCTTTTTGTTGGTGAAATTCTTTATGTATCCACTAATCTGATAACTGGAAGAAGACAGGTCAGGGATCGATGCATCCGTAGGTACAAACAAACTTTGACTGATATAGCTTATGGTGCACTACCTGCCACAATAGGTTAGTCATTTTTGAATTGTTATTCACTTTAACTGGGTGTTCAATTTTCGCACAATTCAAACAATTTTCTCGAAAACTATAACTATAGGAGAACGCACTTGATATTGATATTTGCAGAAAGTTACCGTGCATATGATAAGCTATATCTAGTTTGGATTTAAGACACCTAAAAAATAATGGACTGACCGATACACAGGAATCGCCATTTCGCATTTGTATTACTATACAGTCACGTGATTCCTCCGGTGGTAACGTTCATTACGTCTGATAGTTACCACCGGAGGAATCACGTGACTGTATATTATAATTTGGTACCGAAATGAATGAAAATGAGCTTTATATAAAATAAAAAGTAATATTGACTTCTTTTTCTCTTGGAAGTCCAATCTTGTTGAAAGATCTGTAGCGTAAAATGTTCTTTGTAGAGGTATTGCAAGTAAACCTAGGAAACCACACAGAAACAAAATTGCAAGTCTCTTATAGCTTTTATATATACATTAAAAGGAAATAAAAGTGTATTTAAAAAATAAATAAAATACTTGTCCCAATTCATGATCAAATATTTTACATTTGTTTTCCAAAGAAGAAATTCTTAATCAATTGTTTTACTAATATATCGAATTATCGGTTCATGTACATGTACTCTATTGTCATGAAATATGCGATACTTTTTAACCAGGTTTTCAACGAAAATTGTAATGCCGAAGTCGGCGGGCGGTTGGGCGGGCAGGCGTCAACTTTTGGTTTCCGCTTAATAACTTTAGTTTGCTGTGGTCTATCGACACCAAACTTGTTGTGTAGGTAGCTAATATCAAGAGGCAGCTTCGGATTGCTACCCAGGTGTCTGTGATCAAGGTCAAGACTACTGTTACTAAAAATAGAAATTAAGTTTCCGCTCAATAACTTGAGTTTGCTTTGGCCTATTGACACCAAACTTGGTGTATAGATAGCTTATATCAAGAGGCAGCTTGGGATTTCTACCCAGGTGTCTGTGATCAAGGTCAAGACCACTGTAACTAAAAATAGAAATTCAGTTTCCGCTCAATAACTTGAGTTTGCTTTGGCCTATTGACACCAAACTTAGTGTATAGATAGCTAATATCAAGAGGCAGCTTGAGATTGCTACACAGGTGTCTGTGATCAAGGTCAAGGTCACTGTTACTTAAAATAGAAATTCAGTTTCCGCTCAATCACTTGAGTTTGTTTTGGCCTATTGACACCAAACTTGGTGTATAGATAGCTTATATCAAGAGGCAGCTTTGGAAAGCTACCCAGGTGTCTCTGATTAAGGTCACTGTTACTAAAAACAGAAATTCAGAGCAAACTCAATAACTTGAGTTTGCTTTGGCCTATTGACACCAAACTTGGTGCATGTATAGCTTATATCAAGAGGCAGCTTAAGATTGCTAGATCAAGAACAAGGTCACTGTTACTAAAAACAGAAATTAAGTTTAAGCTCAATTAATTGAGTTGCTTTGACCTTTTGACACCAAACTTGGTGTTTGGATAGCTTTTATTAAGAGGCAGCTTGGGATTGCTTCCCAGGTATCAATGGTCAAGGTCACTGATACTAAAAACAGAAATTCAGTTTCTACTCTATAACTCTAGTTTGCTTTGGTCTATTGACACCAAACTTGAAGAATGGGTAGCTTCAAGAGGCAGCTTTGGAATGCTACCCAGATGTCTGTGATCATGGTTAATGTATTAAGATTTCATGTTATAACTTGAGTTTGCTTTGACCTTTTGACACTAAACTTGCTGCGTGGCAGCTTTTGATTGCCACTAGATATCTGGGAGCAAGGTCAAGGTCATTTGCTTACAATAGAATTTTCAGCTTCTACTCAATAATTTCAGTGCATTGTGACCTATTGATTGCTGTCACATCAAAACTTGATCGTTGAAAACCTGGTTTTCGTCGCATTGCGGCGCTTCTTGTCTTAATATATAAATCTCATTTGTTTCTGTGTATAGTTTACGCTGCAAACAATTTATCTTACTTTATTATAAGCTTTTATCTTTAAATTAAGGTTTTTGTTGTCGATTTTTGTAAAACAATGTAACAGTAAGTTTGTGATAAAAGAAACTCTAATATAAAACAAGACTTTAGTGGCTGAAAGTATTGAAACTTGTTTTCTTGGCGAAAAAAAGTCAAGGAAACCATATCGTGTTGTTGCTTTTTTGTCTTTAAATTAACGAAGTTTACGGGTTGTTATTTACATCAGTGAAATATAGTAAATATCATTTATATTATTTTCAAGACGGACTTCTATTGCATGTAAAAAACGTATGGAAAAGGGTTAAAAGTTCCACATGAGAGATGCCACACTGGTAATGCCCCATACAAGTGCTGCGGGAATTCATTTTACATAAGCCTGAAACAAAATAATGAAAGAGCTTTATTACATGTAATTTCCCACAGAGCAGACGGTAATGGGGAAGTGCACACAGATGGAAATATAGATAATATTATGATGCTAAAAATGGGGTAAAATGAACTAAAAACGCTAAGTCATTGAAGTCTAAACCCCTGCTGAGTTTCATTCCATGAAACTCAAGAGGCAATTAGCCTTGATGTGGTAGATAATATACGTACAGGTCTTGAAGCCGCTTTCAAAATCATTTGGTAAGTATAGACACGGATTTTAAGCGGCTGCATGACACTGAATGAAAAATCCCTAGCTCCTTGAATATGATGATCACTGATGATGGTGTACTAAGTATTACCGTCTCAAAATGCTACATAATTGTTAAGTGCGAGTGTAGCTTCTTACTTCTATAAAGCAGCACGCCCCCAGATACCTGCTAATTTTCATGAAAATATTTTGAAAATACATGTATATTAAAAAGTAAAATATTGTGAAGTGAGCAAAGAAAAAAATGTACACATTGCAAACGGCACATGTAACCCATGAAATTGACCTAAAGAGGTCAAAATATACACACAAAAAGTAACGCACTAGAAATATCATGAAAAATACTGCAAACTCGGTCATTTAAAGATCCTGTAACACATTTTTTTCATAGTTTTATTTCATAAATATGAGGCTCAAATTGAGATTTGTCAATATTGTAAGTTCATATTAGCATTATTTATAAAGATATTACCCAATTTAACATTTCATGTAAATAAAGGGAGGAAATTATAAATTTATTTTCTAAAAATTCTAAGTCAAATTTTCACATTTTACATATTCTTTGATATTTGAAAATTGTTTTATTTGCATAATTATATACATATATAATTTTTTGCAAGTGTGGTATACACACAGTAACAATATCAATCACAAATTATACAGGATCTTTAACGCATATAAAATGGACAGGTTTAATTCTATCTTCACTATGTTCACAGTTTTTAAAATCTAAGTTCATTTTTTCTCAAGTTTGATTTTCTTGAAATAGTTTGTCTCATCTGGAGGCATGCAGCTTTAAAGTAGATTAGAGTTTTACACTTATAACTGTTAATTGTTTCAAGATTAAATCTTCAACAGTTTAGGATATACATGTACATCAACTAGCATCCATATCAGTATACAGTAAAACTTTAATGTTCTAAGTAATAGAAAGAGCACCGAAACACGAGGCTATCTGATTTGTACTAGTAGACTAGTAGTGTACTAGTAGAGTATTAATCAGATTGCCGAGTGTTTTGGTGTTCTTTCTCTTTTGTATCATAGTCTATCATAAAAGCACGTTCCCTGTTGTCACAATATGAAACCCCGGCAAAAATGAACCAATGAACGAACATCTGAATATGACATTTCTGTCGCTTTCCTTTTCTCTGCCGTCACAATATGTAGACCCCAGCAAAAATGAGCCAATCAATGGGCATGCTCTGCAGTGCGGGTAACTAATACCCGCACTCCAGTTAACGCACTGAGCATGTATATGTATACGATTTAACCCTGACACAGGGTTTCAACAGAAAGGTCTCCAAACTATGATACAAAAAATATTTAGTTAACATCGTTGCTTTTCGTAAAGACTGAAATTTTCCTAGATAATTAAGAAATGTGTAATTAAAATTGCACCAAAGACTACAATTTTTAATATGCTGATTTGATTTTCTTTTTATAGAGCGTAAGTCTCGATCCAACGTTCTGTAAGGGTTATGCCTTTAACGTAAAACTCACACAATCACCCTTAAAACACCGCAAATATTTTCTGAATCCGTACCTGCATCTTTTAAAGGTTTTAAACAATTGATTCATATCAGGATAAAAATGCAAAAATCTCCACAAAGTTAAATAATTATGGGAGCAAGGGAATTAAACGTAAATACATGAACTTTCGATACAATGACATTTTAATGAAAGTAAAGAAATCAAGCTCAGATCATCTTGTAAGATACCGAGTTTGAACTCACGTTGACCTTGTGATGTTAGGTCAATGAACTGGTGATTCAGCTGTTGTAAACAAAATGCTCGAGTGCACGTTAACATCACATCTATTTTACATAACAAAGATCTAAAACCAATACATTGTTACAGGTAAGACAGATCAAGGGCTAATAAAAAGTAGAAAAAATAACGATAATAAAATAAATGTATTTTTAACACAGAAGGATGCGTGTCATCTTGATTCACTTGAGTGAAATTTAAAAAAAAAACACAACAACAACAACATCTTCCTCTTTAATGCAGGTTACGTTTAGCGAGCTAGCGGACTAGAGGCGTTTCATTTTTGTGGAGTTATTTTTTTTTTGTATAGTGGACTAAGTTATAATCTTTGAACTACAAAAATGAAACTAAGCGCTGTGAAAGGATTGTTGCTTTGTGCTTTTGGTAAGTGGTTTAAATTTCTTTACAAAATGTGAAATAAATGAACTACGTGGTATAGGGCGCTGTCGTAAAAATTAAAAAAAAATCATTGAAAACTGTTCTTGATATTTTAAATGAATCAATAAATAATGCATGTCTTGAGCGTTATTTGTAAGGTAAAACAACAACAACAACAACAACAAATATAGAATTAAAATTAAAGACTATCAGCAAATGCTCAGACTGTCTCTCTGCTTTACAGAGTTTCACCAAGCATGGTATTTGAGTATAAGTATTAATCCAATAGTAGAAATAAAACAGAAAAATAGTAAATATAAGTTCAAACACCTAGTGTGCTCGGGTCAACGTTGTTATTTCTTGTTTACGTTTTCTACTCCGTATTGTATATGTATTAGAGGCACTAAGAAAGTTGACGTATGAATAAATATCGTACATGTACTTAATTAAATGTTCATAATACGAGTATAATTTTAATGTTTCCAATGTGCTGAAATATGCATGTTACAGTAATCTGTTTAATTCGTTCGTGTTTCTTTGCATAGGTATTGTATATATTCGTTAAATAAGCAATCATTTAATATTATTTTACAGTAGTTTACTTGACCCATGACCTCAGATGTTGTTGTTTTTCCCTGTATGATGAGGACAGTGTAATCAAATAATTGTCATATTGTAGTAAATGATAAACTCGTGTTAGCAGTGTGCGAGTCTTGGTAACAAGGTATTCTCGCCAAAGGAGTTTTGTTTTGGCGAAAAATACGTTGACGACCTTGCATTTACATTGATTCGTTCATTTAGATATGCAAAAGTCCTTAGTCTTAATGAATTTCTCACCATTTGAGCTAGGGCTTTAAATGAGTCTTCGTGCTTCTGCAGATGTTAATGCACGAAAAAAGTGCTTAAACACTCTTATTATTCAATGCGTTTACTGTCAATATAAAGGTTAGATATGTTCAATAATGTATAACAATTGTTTCATTATTATTATTATTATTATTATTATTATTATTATTATTATTATCATTATTATTATTACAGCGATCAAAATTTCAAGAATAAAATAAAAACATATCAACTTTCATTTTGATTTTTGAATTCATATAATTTGATCAGAATGAACAAATAATTAAATTTAAATCTTCTTATTTCTTTTAATTGTTATTTCATTTAATGTATTGTTTATAGGGATCACACATGCGGCTGTGATAGAAGTTTATGAAAACTCTGCTGTCACTATTACATGCGACTTAAACGTCCAATATCCAACATGGACTGGCCCAGCTGGACTAGCAAACCCTCTTACAAGCGGCCAATCTATAAATGAAGCGGACATGGAGTGGGTGAACAATAAAGATCTCAAGATTGAAAAAGCAATGTTACAACATGACGGCAATTATACGTGTTCAGATAATAATGGTAACAGCAAGACCGCTGAAGTTGATGTTCAATGTACGTACACTATTTGAACGGTTAACACATTACAACAAAAATAAATCAAGTTTTAGACCTTAAGAATAGCCATGCAGAATCATGCATTAGATGAATAGCAGAAGGTTAACAGTATGGCAATATTTATGAAACCAGTGTACCTAAACTCATGCATAAAAGTTTCAAGTATTATTAAGCTTATAGGTTTTGCTTATATGATAATTAATATTATATTAAGTTAATTCCAGCAAACACACTTGGTTTTGCATCAATAAATTGTTTTTTTTTTTATTAAAGGCCGATTTTAACAAAGTGCTTGTTTAAAAAGACAAAAGAGTACAAGTTCAATTAAATGTTTTGGGTCCGATATCTTAAAGTTGATTAACAAAATGTCTTTGATATTATTTTCTGTTTAACCAAAAGTACAATAAAAGCGTTTTCTAACTTATTACACATAAAGGTACGCAATCGATTTCATTGTTTTGGCCAATATCGTTTTTAAAGTTCTTGATCCTATATGCATTCATTATACCTGATTTTGCGATAGAAATAAATCAAGTTTGACTTGTTTTTACATTTTGAGAAAAAGAAAACAACCAACAACGTTAATTGCTGATACGAACCAATGCAAGAAATGAGCCATGTCACGACAAAATCAACATAATGGGTTTGTGACCAGCATGGATCCAGACCAGTCTGATCAGGATCCATGCTGTTCGCTTACCAACCCTATTACAAGTTCAGAAATTGATAGCGAACAGCATGGATCCTGATCAGACTGCGCCGATGTGCAGGCTGGTCTGGATCCATGCTGGTCGCAAACCCATTATGTTGGTTTTGTCGTGACGCGGCTTAAATATAGAAGGATTATTATTAGTTCTCAATAACTGTTTTATATGTACTTAGCACTTTATAAGCAGAATATCAATTCATACTAAGCATTTCTTATTCAATCAAAATATTTATCCATATTAAAATACAATGTATATGAAAAAAGAATTAAAATTCCGTTTTAACATGTATGAAAATGTCATACTTCTATGTGTATTTGGATTTTTAGAACATTCAAACTTTTATTACCTGCAAACTTTAACGTTTTTTATGATGGCGGGACTGATAATAACATTTCGAGATTAATGTTCCATTTGATGAAGTCTAGAAAATAACTTATGTGCTAAATTTTAGATCATTAGCTCACTTCCTTTTTTTCGGGATAATTACTCTTATAATAGTGAAAAATGACACAAAATTGAAAGTCGTTGCAATGCATTTCATTCAATAACATAAAATACGATTTTCAATGTATTTTTGAGCATATTTCTCAATTATCTTTTGCATGTCTTTCTGTTTAAAATGCCCCAGCTTTTCTATGTAAAAAAAAATAAAATTTTATGTGTTTACGCTTTTGGACCTCAGTTGAGTTTCTTTGATCAAACTCTACCGAAAGAACCTGGGTCATACGATAATATTTTGTCCCGGGAAGAACTAAGAAAGTGAAAAGTTTTTATCTTGTTTGCATTTATATCTTTTACAGACTTTTCGACTTCGGCGTCTTTATCAGTAGCTTCAACGGCAAATACAACAGCAGTGTTTACTTGTCGTTGTCATAGCAATCCACCTTGTAAAATACATCCTTATAGTGTTTCGCATGACGCAGATAGCAAAACTAAATTCTTTCCTTGTAAACCAGTAAGTTTGGTTCTTCATATAATTATGTTATTTAAGTATAATTATGATTTTGATTAATAGAATAAAATCCTATGTACATTATACGTAATAGTATTTTGTTTGCTTCAAGATTTCGTACTGTTTTGCATCTATCCATACATTTTCCTATTTTTTGAAATACTCATATAATTTAGAGAATTAACAAAGCAAGATTTGAATTTTATAGATTTGCAGTAGGTCATGTTTTATACAATCATCTTAATAGTCGGTTATATTCAATTTAAAAGAATGTATGTAAGATCTCTTCAAGAAAAAAACACCTTTGAATTTTCAAGTACAGGCATACGACGATGCTGAATTGAATTTTTTGTTTCGTTTTTGTAACTTCGGGTAATAAGTTTAAAAAATTATTCCCAGGGCGCATTTCTGTCTTTGATATCATAACTTGCTTGAAATGCTATGTTTTGAAATTATGAGTGGCGAAGTCGGGGCTTCCAGATCTTAAACATTGTCCATGCCTTACTCGAAACCGGCTTGCAAACCAGTTTAAATGATAGTTTAAAGCCAGAAAAAGAAAAAGAAACGAATTTAGTTTAATATCTTTAACATTATATTCTCAAAGCTATATGATACAATATCAAAGATGAAAAAGTATTTCATTCTTTTAAAACATATTATTCAGGATCCCACTACTGAAAACCGGATGGAGTGTAAGGCTACTGTAACATTGGGACTGGCCAAAAGGTACAATGGACTCACTGAAAACAGATGCGAGTTCAAGTACAAAGACATCGAAAAATACGCGACACAATCTGCTAGAAATGTATTTTATTGTAAGTTGAAACACATACAAAATTTTGTTTGTTAGATGATTGGGGTTTACGTCAAACCGACACAGTATAGGTCATATGGCGACGTTCCAGCTTTACTGGTGGAGGAAGACCTCAGGTGCCCTTCCGTGCATTATTTCAGGCACGAACGGGCACCTGAGTAGAACCACCGACGTCCCGTAAGCTAGCTGGATAGCTTCCTTACATGAAAGAATCATGAAAGAATCTAAAGTCCCTGTCGGGATTCGAACCCACAGCGATTAGGGGCAAGTTCTTTGAAGTGACCGACCTTAACCACTCGGCCACGGACGCTCCAACATAAAAAGTAGTTAAATGTAACGTCTCAACGTGAATTCAAGCATTAAAGTATTTAACCATTAACACACTTCAGTGTAGTATTTTTTACTTGTGTTTCGGGGAACAATGATTCCAGCACATTTAATGTTGATTACCGCTTCCGGTGCTAAAGGTCGAAATAGATGTTGCACGTTTCTAGTCTCCCACATAAACAGACTAAATGAAACCGAGTTTGTTTTAGCATGTTATTTTGTTGTTGTCATTAATTCTTTCTAGATTGTAGTAATGATTTCAACTTATCATATTAAATTTTTTTTACGTTGTTTAAAGCAGCATGTGAAGTGAACAAAGACAGGAATTCACACATTGCATGCGGCACTTAAAATCAATGTAAGCGACAGAAAAAAGATGTCAAATCATGCAAAGATAGCCCCTACTGCGTTACTCACGCAGTAGAAATATGATGATAAATAATGCAAATCAGTCAATCTTTTAATTTCCTTAAAAAAAACATTTTGGCTCATCTGGAGGCATGCAGCTTTAAAAACCTCACATTTAACAGTTAGAAATTAAAAGCAGGACACGTCAGCTGCGTTTTTGTATTGTACAATAATTTTTAAATGCATTGCAAACATGTTCCACGTTTTGTAGTTCCTCCAACCAACGTCGATGTTACCGCAAAGAAAGTTGGTCAGACCGTTACCCTAAACTGTACAACCGATTCATCAAACCCTGTAGCTCTATTAAAGTGGTATAAAGGGAATAAAGATGAAGCCTCAGATAATACAATTATAACAAGTAATTATAGACGGGTCATTGAGGATGCGGAGTACAATGGTAAAAGTGTCTCACAATTGCTTAACATCAATGTAAAGAGCATCAAGGATGGAGAAAAGGCTTTCTGTTGTGGTAAACAAGTGCAAACAGAGATCTGTGAATCTATTTCACTAGCACCATTTAGGGAAACATGTACGTATCATTTTAGGCATATCATCTTTTAGGTACATCTTTTGTTAATAATGCAGTATCACTATCTTCGGATAGATTCATTTGCTTTGTACAACTAAACTTTGAAACACAAAAGACGCCACTCCCTCGACGATTCTTATTATAAGAGGTCACTAAATTTATTCACCATATGAGGTGTATGTAGAAATAGAGTCGACTCATAGACCAATGATGATATGTTTTCTAGAAAAGAATCTCAGATATACCCATTCTCTGTGTACTTATTCAGAAACTTGCACCTTTGTAGAATGTAATCTTTTTCTAGTCAATTAAGTGTGAACAACTATACGAATACCACAGAAACTTTGCACGACATTTGAATATGTATGTGAGAAGGCTGTTGAAATATTCACTATTTCTTTCATCATAAACTGACCCACAAACTATGTCTATATTTTTCTTTGATTAACTATTTATTCTGCAAACGATTGAAAAATAATAACCCTATACTTTAATAATTTATATGGCATTTTTTAATTTTAAATGATGTTAAGTTAAGACAAACACAATTCATATACATATCTAATTAAGCAATTTCATTACAAACAACAGTCAGCTATTTTTTTTTTTTTTTTTTTTTGTAAAATACTTGTATATTTTCTTCACTTTTTACAGCTGGAGGTCACAGTCTAACAGCCGGGATGACTTTGATTATTGTTGGTATAGCCATCATCATCCTTTGAGAAAGCACCATACTACAATCTACTCATTGTATCAAAATGTTATATATGGCATTAACATGATCACAAATTAAATAAGTTAAGCTAAAATATAGTGCATAATTTAAAACACCAATATAGGGTTAACGCACGTTTTTCCGTGTTATAACGTCTGCAGAGTCCCGAGGAACGGTTGGTGCCCGAGCCCGGTAGGGCGAGGGCTCCAACAGTTCCGAGGGACTCTGCAGACTTTATAACACGAAATAAACGTGCGTTGACGCTATTATAGCATAAAATTTTCAAACAGATTCGTGATGTATAGTTTATACAAAACACAATTCCATTAAATTCTTGTGCTTGGACGGTATTTATCCAATTCTATGTTTTACGTATGCGTTTCATTTTTCCGGGGCCAACAACTTGGAAAATTCTCGAAACCGAACGAAATTTTGAATTTTAATTGATTTAACAAATTTAAAGCTTGGCCTTTGGAGATTTATTATCTCATAAAAAAACGTTACATTACTCTACCCTCTACCCAAGACAAAACATGACCCTCAGAAATTCTTAGAATGATTTCAGATTGACGGTAGAAAAAAGATCAGTGACATCAGAATCGTTTTCTTTTTCAAGCAAACAAGTTAATAAAAAAATCAGGCACTAAACATTATTCTCTCAAAGAAATATAAAGAGCATTTATCAACATTAACATAAATAAAAAACATGTTCTCATATTAATTTTGTGTTATCTAGTTTTGTAAGTTAATCGGAGTGTTAAACTGAATGACAGGTAGATTCTACTGTATTTGTTTACATTGACAACTGTCCGTTTCTTAGAAAGGGCGACAACCAAGATTAGCACCGATGTCTATACGCCGTTTTTCCGGCATAGTTACTTGAATATGCGACTGAGGCCCTCGAATCAATAAATTTCAATATAACAAGAGCGCATGACTCTTTGGCAAACAGGCCAAATCGTCATTTTTTGTTTGTTTGTTTACTGGGCCCTGTATGTATTGCGCATAGGTGAAACCGGGCTATAACAAGAGCGCATGACTATGTTAACACATGGTTTTGGTCCCGTTATAACATGGGCAAAAGAGGGTAAAATAGCCGATTTTATGCTATAATATATGAGATATACAGTTTCTAGTAATTGTAGTATATGTATATGTAATTATAATCAAAAGCTTTGTTTACAGAAACTTGCCAACAAACACCAACTTCGAGTCTGTGTCATCCTTAAATTAATATATGTACAATATGTACAATTGACTTGTTAGTGGTTTAGCAGGTGAAAATCATGACATCGTGAATTCCATGAAACGGTTTTTTGTTTTGTTTTTTTTTTTTGTTTTTTTTTTTTGGTTTTTTTTTTTGTTTTTTTGTTTTGTTTTTTTTTTTGTTTTTTTTTTAGGGGGGGGGTCCATATATCCAATTTTAATTAGATTGTCCGTCTATCCTTTTGCAAATGAGCTATTTTTTAAATAAATATTGTTTACTTTTTTGTTTTTGACAAAATGCATGCAATAAATTTCTGTATGCTTAGAAAAGGAACATACATTGACAACCAAGATTAGCACCGATGTCTATACGCCGTTTTTCCGGCATAGTTACTTGAATATGCGACTGAGGCCCTCGAATCAATAAATTTCAATATAACAAGAGCGCATGACTCTTTGGCAAACAGGCCAAATCGTCATTTTTTGTTTGTTTGTTTACTGGGCCCTGTATGTATTGCGCATAGGTGAAACCGGGCTATAACAAGAGCGCATGACTATGTTAACACATGGTTTTGGTCCCGTTATAACATGGGCAAAAGAGGGTAAAATAGCCGATTTTATGCTATAATATATGAGATATACTGTTTCTAGTAATTGTAGTATATGTATATGTAATTATAATCAAAAGCTTTGTTTACAGAAACTTGCCAACAAACACCAACTTCGAGTCTGTGTCATCCTTAAATTAATATATGTACAATATGTACAATTGACTTGTTAGTGGTTTAGCAGGTGAAAATCATGACATCGTGAATTCCATGACAGGCTACGGTTTTTTGTTTTGTTTTTTTTTTGTTTTTTTTTTTTGTTTTTTTTTTTTTTGTTTTGTTTTGTTTTTTTTTTTTTTTTTTTTTTTAGGGGGGGGGGTCCATATATCCAATTTTAATTAATTCGAATTGTCCGTCTATTCTTTTGCAAATGAGCTATTTTTTAAATAAATATGTTGTTTTTATAGTACTTTTTGTTTTTGTAACCAAAATGCATGCAATAAATGTTCTGTATGCTGGTGATTGTACTTTTGATACATAAAGTGAACATACATTTGCAATTTTCTTCTTATAGCGGGTAAAAATAGTAATAGTCTGATCCTTTTGTTATCTTTGATAAAAGTTTGATAATCGTGTACGTCAAATATTAAAGGACCTGTACAGAACCAACCTGTTTTATTACAAATGCTGTCATTCTTGTATTTAAATAGTGACTGATTTTGAACGCTTTCGTGAGTTGTGTTGTCGCTAGCGACGTGCGTTGTCCTCGACCTGTCGCTAACGATGCACGCCAAACACGCGATGTCACATTGTCGCTCGGCTCAAATCGAAGGTTTAACTTATATGCCAAGCAACAGGCCGACAACTCGCCGACAAGACGAAAAAAGCGATGACTTTAAAGGTTGTGTTGTCGCTATCGACAACACAACGCGCAAAGTGAACCAAATAAGCAATTATATATTTATTATCGTTTGAAGCAGCGGTTATTCAAATATAAATATATCATAGCCACTGCGTAATTTCATCAAACAATACATTTTATTCATTTTATGTTATTCCGTTTACCCCGCCGACAACCTATATTACAAAGTTATGTTAATGTAATTTATTCAATATACCTTTCATTTATGCAAAACCTTCCATCAGTAAATAATTACCAGTTATTCTTACAATAGTCATAAGAAATAATGATAACATTGGATAAATCAAGTGTGTATGTAATATTGACGGAATTTTGGGACATGTTTAATGTTTTGTGGGGACACAATAAGACAAGAATACTCAGTGATTTTATTTTCATTGGAAAAAATCAAATCAAACTAAACAAAAAATAAAGAAAAAAACGAACAAAACCCCAAATTTCAGAACATCATCATGAGGCCCAATACTTTGTTATGTAGAATTTTACATAATCTTCGGAAACGTTAGAGGGTAGATGTTCAAATTATATCTCTTCGCTTAAAATTGGCCATCCCCGGGGGTCAAAGGTAGTTCTTATATGTTAATAGTTTAAAAGTGTTTGGCTAAAAACTTCATGTGAAGGATCTCTAGCAATGTTGTCAAATTATGGAACTGGGGTCAAAAAATGGCCCTGTCCCGGGGCCTTGGTGTTCCCATGCTTTAAATTGTGTTTTTTGTAAGTTGTTTTTTTTTCTCTAAAGGCATAGAGCTAATCTAAACAAATGGAATGAAATTGACCCGCAAAGAAGGATTTTGGGTTATCCAATAATAAGTTATGACTAATAAACCACTTTAAATTTTGAGGTTAGTCGGTCAAAGGTCAAGATCACTCCAAAATATTATCCAACACTACACTATAGAGAAGAGAACATGGTACCACTCTGTCACCTGTTAAGCGATTTTAGGCCAATTCCCCGTTAATTTAAAACATTTGAGTGTCTAATAATTTGTTTCGAATGAATGAAAATTCATGATTGAAAATAGAGATATGTCTTATGTCCATTAAATGGAACAACCACGTCGTGAGATGATGATACCGGGTGTTATCGAGCACGTCATCTGCTACATGTTTAAAGGCCCATTATGCCTCAGATATCCTTTATTTCTATTTCTCAAAACCTTTTAATTTTGGTGTACTTTTTTAGTATC